TAAATTTTAAGTTGAATTGCTGAATGTTTGCACTAGCATATTAAGGTAATAAACTTTGAAATTTATCTTCATTTAGTGCCAAGAAATTGTGAAAGTTTAAGTATATAACTTGCCCAATATATTACTTTTTGAATGAAAATGAACTATGATTCTTGATTTAATATTTATTCTGGAATTCCTATTTATCTTGAATGTCAGAACTCGCCTGCTTTTCCCTTAATTCCTTACCTATTAATCACCGTATTATCACCTGTTTCACAGAAAGGCTACCCCAATCTGTGCTTTAGACATCAATCCTAATAAATTAATTGTCAAATTTTCACTTTGTTTGCAGAATTTGCTGATAGATTTGTAATTTTCTTCCTACGCAACTAGGATATAATTTTAGATTTATTACGAATTAAAAACAAACCTTTTATTACTGATTTTTTAAATCATTAAACCAGCAAACAAATTGGAATACGCAGATTTTTATCCGTACAGTCACGAGTAACACTCGAAACCTTTAATTTACTTAATTACTGGATAATATTTTTTCATTTTACCCTTATTGGAAGAATTACATCCATTTCTATGGTGCACCAATATAGTTAGAAATGAGGCTTAGTAATCCTGTACATAATCTCAGCTTTTCTCAGTTATATTTTATGTGTGTTATAGTTTTCTTAATTAGATAATGGCTGTACTAGTATAGTTTAACATTTTCTGTGCATCATGGGATTTTTATTGTTCATATGATTCTGAAGTATAATTTCCGGCCATGCGAATTATCTTTTTAAGCTCCATAACGAATTTCATTAAGTACAATTTCTTATTAATAGAATACAATGACCTATAAAATATTTCTTTATTATATGCTTTATCCATTTTTCCCAACTTTAGTTTATTGAATTTCTATTCAACCTTTTTGAGGTTTAGTTATTCCGGGTTTTCAATTCTTTCAATCTTTTTTTACAATGAATAATCACAACCCATTTTTAATTATTTTTAATCTCTGGATACTCATCTTTCGTGTGGCTGTGTATTACTATGCTTATTCATTCCTTTAATCTTTTCTATAATTATGAACTCTTAGACAATCGGTTTTTTGAATTAATTTAATAGATTGGCTTAATTTATTAGTCTTTCAATGCAGCAATGGGTATGACGAAGTCTCCGCGATGTGAACGAAGAGTTATTCGCTTGAGAATCAGCATATTTTTTTACACCCTTAAGACATCATGCCATAATTGAGAATGCTACTTAAAACCATGGTCTAAATATCAGTCATTTAATATACGACTAAGGGACACAAGTGCTATTTAAATAATAGGACAGATTTGAACGTTGAAATCGCTTTTTTTCCCTTTATAACTGCAAAATTCTGCACATTATCGTTCCGATAAAGCTTAGCCAAAGTAGTTTATTTTAATATAGAATGTAGATCCCTTTCATTTTTAATCTATATAGCTTACAAAATAAAGCATCTAATCTATTGATATTTGTTTCCTTTAATTTTAATAGTCTTGTGCTGAAAATTGATTTTCGTTAAGACAAAAATTAGATACTTTTACTTATACCTAAAATTTGCCATATATTCTCTTAATTCAATCGAATTTTAAAAAAGATTAACGTTTAGCCCAAATCTGTAATTGCAAACATTAGAATAACGCTAAATTTGAGAGCCTCACGTTTTTCATTGCCATGTTGATGATATTTACGGAAAATAAACAAGAGGACGAAAAATAAATCTTAATGAATCATATTGGATGGATGACAAAGGCGTTAGTAAAATTGAGTAACCTTAGTCGAACACAAATCGAGGTAATGCCATATATTCTTTGTAATAAAAAATGTGAGCCCTTAAAGGATTGATAATCTGATATGCCTTGAAAGGATCATCATTATTTGGGATTTAATTTACTAACCACAGCGTACGAATTATTTTGTTGAAAGACTCATTTCAGCCTTTAATATATGGTTTGATTTTCAGAATAATTGTCTCTGAAAGGAAGTATTTTGTCACTCACATGACATAAAACGGATATTTATACTGTCAATATATAGAATATTTAAGAGGTTGAAACTCGTTTTTGAGTTAAGTTTGAATAAATTTGTTGCTATTAAAGTTATTTTAATGTCTTCAATCTAGTTTCGTACTCTTTTTATGATTGTTTATCCATTACGCATTCATTATGCTAAGAAAAAAAAGGTTATTTACGATGTACAATTTTTGTAATTTAAAGAATATTTATACATTTATCTCATTAATTCTAATCGGACATTAGATGCAAATTAAAAATTCTTTTTGTGAAATTGCAATGCACCTTTTTTTGGTTCTTTTTCTCTTCATCAATTCAGAAAATTTATAATGCCTAATCGTACATGTAATACTTGATCATGCCATGCACCGAAACTCGATTGACTTTATCGGGCTGGAGACGACTCTATTCCATGGAAGGCAATAAATACTACTTTTGCTCCATTTCATTTTTCTCCATTTTGGGATCATTTTTATAAGTAATTTTTAAAAAACAGTGCATTTTTATTTTACTTAAAATTATTAAAAAGATGATGCATGTTGGACTGTTTTTTATTTAGTTTGAATAAGCTTCACCTATAATTCACTCGAATGTAATGTATAATTATCTCGTCTAAATTAGGCACTGCTCGTGTAAAAAAAAGCATCCACTAAAGTGCTGATAAATTATACCTACATATTATATCAAAAATTCCTAATTCTCAGCGGAAATTCTTTTTCTTTTTCTAACTTCACCATGGGCTACCGAGCCAGTATTTTTTCTTTGTTTAATTTACCCATATATGACTTCTGTTTTACCTTTTATTCTACTGTCTACAGTTACTTTTATTATTAAGAAAGTATACTAATGTCAACCATATTGCAATCCTTGGCAAAGTCCTCTTTTGAAGAGCGATCAGCGTCTAGCCAAAGATCTATTGAGATACGTCAAATCCCAGATAAGTCATAAAGAACTATTCTAAAATATTGGATTAAAGTTGTTTGACCATGTTTTCGCAACTTGGTCACATTGGTAGGAAGACTTAGGAATGTACCTAGTCCGGAGTTCATTGTATGCATGATTATTTCCAAAGTTGGATCGTATACGTGGTTCTTTACCAGACGTTTCGACGGCAGCGTAGTCGGCATCGTCAGTGAGTCTCGCCATTCGTACAGCTCGTCAAAGAGACAAGTAAGCTTATCCTTTGACAAAACGTGTGCCAAACAGTTTTGGTATCTCCCCTTCTGCCCTGGGCTATTTAAATTTCCTATAACCTTCTATCACGCCTTCTCTGTCACAATTTTTACCGTGCTTATTTTGATGTAGTGTGGTGTGGTCCCTCGAGTGGCATTCATGTAAGCCCTTCACACTCCACGCTGTCGTTCTCATCCCCTTCACCCTTGTACTAGGAATGTTGACTAAAGTCCGTCATATTGTTACGTCGTCCTTCCCTAGATCCTATCAGAGTCTCCCTCTTGCCCCGTCGAATCCGTCTGCTATCTCTCTCATACACCTATTTCACTCGACCTCTGTCTCCCCATTTGTGCTACCCGAGGAGTTATTCACCCACCCTTACGTCTGGATGACTAATTCGAGGCTAAAGCCTCTGAGAAATTCTCATGGTCATGTCTTTGTTACATGGACTACGTCTCTTGTAATGCCTACTGTCAGCCAACTAGCTTCAATCGTCGCTTCGTCTATCCTATCTCTATCTCTGATAACAAGTCTATGACTTGCCATGTCCTAGTCTCCTGTGTGTCAACCCACAAATTTTGTGATACTGATTAGATTCAATGATGAACCCACTTCTATGAACTCCAACGTTTGTGGATTTGGCACACAAAAGACTTGGGCATGGCAAGTCATAGACTTGGTTTTAGGGATAGAGACAAAATAGACGAGGCGGCGATTGGAGCTAGTTGGCTGACAGTAGGTTTTACAAGAGATGTAGTCCATACATGGAAAGGCATGACCATGAGACTTACTCAGAGGCTTTAGCCTTGAATTAGTCACCCAGACGCAGGGGTGGGCGAATAACGCCTCGAGTAGCACAGATGGGAAGACAGGGTTTAAGTGAAATATGTGTACCAGAGAGATAGCATTCAGATTCTACGGAGCAAGAGGGAGACTCTAATAGGACCCAAGGAAGGACTAAGTAACAATATGACGGACTCTGGTCAACATTCCCGGCACATGGGTGAATAGGGTGAGAACGACAGCGTGGAGTGTGAAGGGTTTTCATGAATGCCGTTCGAGGTAGCACACCACACTGCATCAAAATAAGCACGGTGAAAATTGTGACAGGGAAGGCGTGATAGGAGATTATATGAAATGTGAATAGCCCAGGGCAGAAGGGGCACATTTTTGGTCAAAGGATGAGCTTACTTGTCTCTGACGAGCTGTACTATGGTGCTACGAATGGCGAGACTCACTGACGATGCCGTCGAAACGTCTGGGAAAGAACCACGTCCACAGTCCAACTTTGTAAATAATCATGTATAGAATGGACTCCGGACTAGGTATATTTCTCTAAGTCGTCCTACCAATGTTACCAAGTTGCGAAAACAAGGTCAAACAACTTCTATACAACGAAAGGAGACTGAGACCACACAAAAGGCTACACCATCTTGGTCTTCATTTTTTCAATATTGGATAAATTTTTCCTAGTTCTTTGCTTCATACGTATCTTTACTCCTGTTTAAGGCTGTTGAGTTCTTCGCTGAATGGAGTCTTTGGCCTGAGAATGAGGTATACCGTCGAATCCACGCGGGCACTTACCTTCCCCATGCTATCGGTGATAAAGCTCGCTGGTTTGCTCACCATCTAGATGCTGTATTGCATTTCGTATGGCCGTCTGATCACTTAGTTTTACTTCCACCTACGCCTCCACTTCTATTGCCGGAAACATCTGGTATCTTTCATTCCAACCAAGCTAAAGACGATGTC